GCTGCTCTTTCTGCTATTGTCTAATGCAGCTGCGTAAAGAAGTGACCACAAGACTGGATAAATAAGACAAGCTTGAGTTTAAAAAGGCGGCGGTGGAATATTAAAGGTCAAAAGCAACACTAAATCTGCCTTGATATGGATTCCTCCAACACTGCTGATACTAAACATTTAACAGGGTGATAAAAGCGCTTTCTATCAGTGGCGTGTTGTGACTTCTGAAATTAGGCAGCAAAGTCTCATGGTTTTACATGGTTTCTGGTTTAAAGGCATAATGAACAGCAACTTCACACATTCAGCAAACAACCAATACTATGCATTTTAATGCATAATTAAGTCACATCCCAGCTGTTTCTGAAAGCCATTTCTGAAATGTTCCCTGAACATTCAAAATGTCTGTTTTTTTAACATTTTAAATATGTTTCTTCTGGGTTATGTGAATGTTAAGGGAACATTCCATTGTATCATTTTGCTAATGTTCTGAAAATGTAAATGTTCTGAAACAAGTAGTAACATTTTAAAATACTAAAACTAGAACGTTCAGAAAAAAAAAGATGTATAAATAACATTTTTGTGCTAAAATTGAGACGTTCTATTCATGTTACTGAAGAACTTGTCTTCATAACTTTGAGAGAACCTTGCCAGAACTTTCTGAGAACATTCCCTGTTTGCGAGGATCAAAGTTAATCAAGTTTAACTCAAGTTCTTCAAGTTTTAAAGCATTTCTTAAATTACTTGAGAAGAATTTAATACAATAATACAATATAAAGCTGTCACTTTTAGCCTATATTCCTCCATTCACACCATTAGCTCACATTAATGTGAACGCAACAAGCTAAAGGAAGGCAAGAGAGATGATTTACTTGGTGTCACTACTGGATAGTGAAACATGAGTAATTAAAACACCTTTGAAATATTGGATTTTCTTTACGGCTTTTAACTGTATTATTGGAGTTCATGTTTTGAAGCAGTTTAAAAAATGCTTGAAGAACTTCAGTTAAACTTGGTTAACTGACGTTTTTAATAATTAGTACGTTAAGATAAACATTAAAAAATGCATAGTACTGGGTGCTTGTTGATTGTGTAATGAAATTTTGGAGATCACATTCTCATCCTATTTTTTTTCTGAGAAGTCACTGCCTCCCCGGTCTCGGAGAAAACGCCCCTGGTTCCTATTTTAGATGAAAATAAACTTGTCATCCTGTAAAGCACAATGACTTTATGCTATTAGTCAAGCGTTCTGAGAGGATACGCTGTAAAATGGCACAGTTAGTCACGTTGCCGGTCAAGAGGGAAGTCCTTGAAGCGTGCTAATCTCTTTAAACGCTCACAAGATGAATAGTTTAACAGCATCACGTTTGGACATCCTAAACTGCAGTTCATGCCGCATAAAGTAATTTTCCTATCAGACCGAAAGCTGTGCCACATTTCTATTTACTTCAAATAAATCAACATACTGAACAACACGCACTTTCCAAGTCTGTTTTTCGACTTCAGGACAGACCTCAAAAACAAAACAAGACATCTCATCTGATCTTTGCATTGGAGAAACAGCCGTGCTAACAGGAAATGAGGCACAAACACGGCCTACAAGTGGACAAAGAACATCTTTGAGGACGAGAAGCCAGTGTTTCCCCTCGAAGGTCCTCTGCCCCGACTGAAACCCACACATTCCCAGAGTGGAACGGGCTTTTCTTAGGAACTCAAAGCCTGTTTGTATCTCGCATCTGTTTGACTATTCAGCTCTGCGGGGAGAGACCGGCTTCTTATCAGTGCACCGCAGACCTAGTCAGCCCATCATATCCGTGCTGGAAATACGCTGAACTTCCAGTAACCGCCCTCACCCTGTGAGAGATCCTGCTCTGCTGCTAAACAGCCTATGAATATATGCATAATCCTCTTGAGTGACTACCAAACCCTTCCTCTTCCTCTTCCATCAAGAAGTCAATCTGCTGATAAATCAAATTTCATCATTATGCAACGCACTATAAGCGTGCAACTCGCAACACGAGGCTCATAAAGGCTTTCGCAGATGCTGCAGGTCGAAACAACAACACTATCTAATCCTGTCACGATGTGCTGATATGACAACGTCACCTAAACCCGTCTAAACCAACCTCAGAGTCACCTGTGAAAGAGTGAATCGCATGGAAACATAAGCAGGTCATATCTGACCCCAAAAACATGTTAAAAATTATATTGCATTAAATTATATTGATTTTATTTTCATGACAATTAAACACACCTGTAGCCTAAATTCTCATTATTGTAATGCAGACTCTACTTTTCAGCTTCTTTATCATTCCTATTATTCTTATGTGTGGTTACTAGGGATGTAACGATTCATTCAACTCACAATTCGATTCACGATTTTGATTTCACGATTTTTTTTTTTTTTTTTACAAAATGAGATTTAAGACAAATTATAAATTAAATGTGTCCTTTTTTTATTGCTTAGACAAAATGTTGCACATTTGTGAAATTGA